GACCACAGTTTGTGAGGCTGAAGAACTGCACATCAAACCAGGCGATCAGTAACATTGGAGCACCACAGGGGACTGTACTCTCACCATTCCTTTTCACCCTGTACACCTCAGACTTCCAGTACAAATCAGAGACCTGTCATCTACAGAAATACTCAGATGACTCTGCAGTTGTCGGGTGTATCAGAGATGGACAGGAAGCTGAGTATAGAGAACTGGTGGAGCGCTTTGTGGCATGGTGTGGAAACAATCATCTGACCTTGAACGTGAACAAAACAAAGGAGATGATTTTAGACTTCAGAAGAAACAGGGTGGAGTCAAACACTGTTTCCATCATGGGAGAAGAAGTGGAGGTGGTTGAGGAATACAAATACCTTGGAGTTCACCTGGACAATAGACTGGACTGGAGAAAGAACAGCGAAGCCGTTTACAAGAAGGGGCACAGCAGACTGCACTTCTTGAGGACGCTTAGTGTCTGTAGCAAGATGCTGCAGATCTTCTACAAGTCTGTTGTTGAGAGTAGTCTCTTCAACGTCTGTTGGGGTAGCAGCATCAGAAGCAGGGACCTGAAAAGGCTCAACAGCCTAATAAAAAAGGCTGGTTCTGTTTATGTATTTAGCAGACGCTTTTGTCCAAAGCGACTTACAAGTGATAATCGGCATATTGCCCTTGAGGCTAACAACAACAACAACATTGACATCAGTCATGGAGAGTAGGGAACAAGGAGTGGACAGTAGAGGGGGGGGACGAGTGCAGGCAAGGTGCTAGTTAAGAAGATGCTCTCTGAAGAGCAGGGTCTTCAGGAGTTTCTTGAAAATTGAAAAGGAAGCTGCAGTTCTGGTAGTGCTTGGAAGGTCATTCCACATTTGTGGAACGATGCATGAGAAAAGTCTGGATTGTCCTGAGCGTGGTGTAGGCACTGCTAGCCGACGATCCTGTGATGACCGGAGCGGCCGGGCCGAGACGTAAGCCTTTGCAAGAGGATTCAGGTAGATGGGAGCCGTACCGTCTCGGACTTTGTATGCTAGTGTTAGCAATTTGAATTTGATGCGTGCTGCTAGCGGTAGCCAGTGGAGCTCAATGAACAGAGGGGTGACTTGTGCTCTTTTTGGCTGATTGAAGACCAGACGCGCCGCTGCGTTCTGGACCATTTGTCTCACAGTACAGCCTGGAAGACCAGTTAGAAGGGCATTGCAGTAATCGAGGCGGGAGATGACAGTAGATTGCACCAGGAGATTGCAACATTAATCAATTTCCCTCTGGGATTAATAAAGTATTTTTGAATTGAATTGAATTGAGCTGGGTGGCATGTTGTGTTAGGTATGGTCTGATCTTTCGCATGTTATACAACGCAAAGCGGCATGAACGGGCAACAGAGGCAACATGATCTTTAAAGGTCAGGTGTTCAATCACAACACCCAGATTTCAAACTGCCTTTGAAGGAGCCAGAGATAGGAAGTCACTTTGGATGAGATATTGTGCTGTTCTGGGGATGACTGTGGAACCACTGGAGGAGATAATGCAAAGAAGGATTCTCCAGAGAATCAAGAAAATTATGGACAACCCTGAGCATTCTCTTCTCAAGACTGTCCGACAACGGAAGAGTGTCTTCAGTCAGAGGATTCTTCAGTTTCGCTGCAACACTGACCGCTACTGGAGATCCTTCCTGCCAACAGCCATTGTAATATACAACAACTCTTTGATGACTTGATTATTATTATTATTCTGAGCTAATACAGCAATCAATTTCCCTCTGGAATTAATAAAGTATTTTTGAACTGAATTGAATTGAATTTAGGTAGAGTATTACAGCTTATTGGTCATAAGTAGAGGTAAAATATCTATTGAGCTCTTAAAGCACTCAATTTACCAAACCCTACAATATCGTTAAACAAATGCACACAAGCAGATTCTGTGCCATGATGTTTTCTAAACCCAGACTGAAAATGTCCATTACTTGATGGTCACTTAGACGTATTATTAGCTTTTAATGCACAAATTTTTCCAAGTACCTTTGATAGAAATGGTAATTTGGAAATTGGTTGGAGATCTGAAAAAATTGTGGGACTGAGACCAGGTTTTTTAGTCCATTCTGCGGACTTCCTGATAGTAATGAATTGCAGTAATCCAGTCTTGTTGTAATAAATGCATGAACTAGTTTTTCAGCATCACTCCTGGAAAGGATGCTTCTAATCTTAGCAATATTCCGAAGGTGGAAAAAGGAAATCCTACAAACCTGTTAAACATGGAAATTTAATGACATGTCCTGGTTGAAGAAAACATAAAGGTTCCTTACTTTGTTCTCAGGGACTAATTTAATGCCATTCAGGTCAGGTGATTGACTAAGCAATTTCCTTTTCTGGATTTCAGGTCCAAAGATGAGAACTTCAGTCTTGTCTTGATTTAAAAGCAAAAAGTTTAGAGTCATCCAAATTTTTAATGTCTTCAAGACAGGCCTGTAATCTAACTAACAGATTAGGTTCATCAGGGTTACTGGATAAATATAACTGAGTATCGTCAGCATAACAGTGGAAGTTTATCCCATGCTGTCTAATGATTTTACCAATTGGGAGCATATATATAGTAAAAAGAATTGGCCCAAGCACTGAACCCTGTGGTACTCCACAAGTAACCCTGGAGTATGAAGAAGATTTGTCATGTACATTTACAAAATGAAATCTGTCAGACAGGTAGGATTTAAACCAGCTTAGCGCTGTTCCTTTGATCCCTACAACATGTTCAAGACTTTCTAAAAGAACATTGTGATCAACTGTGTCAAAGGCAGCACTGAGATCTAACAAGACTAGAACAGACACAAGATTCTATCTGAGGCCATGAGAATATCATTTTAAACTCTCACTAATGCAGTTTCAGTGCTGTGATACTCTCTAAAACCAGACTGAAATTCCTCAAACAGAGCATTAGTGTTTAAATGTTCACATAGTTGGATGGCCACTATTTTCTCCAGGACTTTGGATAAAAATGGAAGGTTAGATATTGGTCTATAATTCATTGGGTCATCTGGATCCAGAGAAGGCTTCTTAAGTGAAGGTTTGATTACAGCAACCTTAAAATCCTGTGGTACGTATCCATCTACTAAGGATAGATTGATTATATCTAGAATGGGGGCAGTAACCAAAGGAAGTGCATCTTTAAATAATTTGGTTGGAATTGGATCCAAAATACAAGTTGAAGGTTTAGATGAAGCTAATATTTTTGATAACTCTGAAAGCTCAACTGGATCAAAACGGTTCAAGCACAGATGAGGTTCTAGAGTCACCTCTGATGCTGCCTCACTTACTGAGGAAGAAGAAATCGCATTAGGGAGGATGCTAAAGATTTTGTTTCTAATAGAATTAATTTTACTCGTGAAAAATCCCATAAAGTCATTGCTGCTAAGGGCTAAGGGAATAGATGGTTCAGAGCTATGATTCTGTGTAAGTTTGGCAACTGTACTGAAAATAAATTTAGGATTATTCTTATTCTCCTCAATTAGCGATGAAAAATATGTGGTTTTAACATAGACGGCTCAAAGTAGTGATGCTCTCTGTTAACTCAGCTCTCCCTGCGCGTGCATGTTAGAAGGCGCGGCTTTCAGCTCTTTCAGGACGGGTGGGGGAGGAGCAGTAGCCATTCAAATTTCAAAATCTTCTCCGCTTCATGAGGTGAATCCTGTAGACCACAGCTTTAAGCAACTGGAGACCTGCACGTGACTTATTCTGAAAGTTTTGAAGCCTTATTTTCTTCAAGTGCACTTTGCTGAAGACCGAGGGGTATTATTGGGATTGGGCTTTTGTTACCTGAAGCTTGGGCTGGGCGATATATCGATATTCTTTAAATATCGGTATAATTTTTAAACAAGATATAAGATGACTTTATATCTTTATATCGATATAACTGGCCAAACTGCTATGCTAGCGATTAGCCGCTATGCTAGTGACATGTTGCTCCGTCTCTAAGCGGCTATTACGTGTATTCTCACAAGTTTGCTCAGTCTGAGAGCCTCTGGGTAAATGTGCTGCTCTAAACTTTGCATTTGGCCTCCTGGTTTTTAATTATTTGAGGACGTTCAATGCCAACGGAGTTCTGTTTTCCATCCTGCTTGTGCGGAGAGACGAGCCAAACCCCTCCCTCCCCTGTGTAATGAGGATACGGCTACGGAAAGCCGGAGTGACCAAATGACCTGAAACATATTGTAAGGGTTTGACTAGTAAACTATAGGGTTACCGTTTTATTTTAAAGGCAAACTCAACGGGTGAGAAATGTTCCGGTTCCGTTTTTTTCCGCTCTGGTTTCCTATGCTAGTAAATATTCCGTTACGAGTGATTCTGATGAAAAAGTTGAGTTTGTAAGGTGTGGGTTATGGCGACAGTAGCCTGAAAATAACACTCATAAAAGAGCAACCAGAGACTCTGAATCATTACAGTATAATCGCTGATATGAGCCAACACTGCTAACTAATAACTAACAACTAGTTAATAACTAGTTTTTCTAATAACTAATAACTCCATGGTGCATGACCCATGTGATCTTCAGTAGATGCAATTACATCATCGTACATTTAGCTTAACATGATGATTTTTTTTTCTCTGGACAAGACCTGTACAATATGGGCCACCTCTAGATGAAATTTAAATAAATTTACATTAATTATAAATATATAATTAAAAAGTGCCTGTGGGACATTTGATACACCTCTGGCTCTCAACTGTGTGTGTGTGTGTGTGCGGGTGTGTGTGTGTGTGTGTGTTAGCTGACAGCTGTACCTGTGTTACTAAAGCTCAGACTGGTAGAGAATAGGCACTACGGTTAAAGTTTGACAAGAATCAATACATTTTTATGCATCTAACCTACTGATTTATGTATATAATTTCTCAAGAGCTTGAAGTGAGTTAACTTGTCAACAGTTTACAGGAGGAAAAATATCGAGATATATATCGTATATCAGAATTCAGCTTAAAGATATCGAGATATAAGTTTTGGTCCATATCGCCCAGCCCTACCTGAAGCTGTGTCGCCATTGGAAACCAGGTGTTGATGGTTTGGGTGGGTGTGGTCACTTCTGTCCAATCCACTGTGATCCCCAGTACAGAAGCTTAGCACACACACACACACCAGCCACACATCCTCCACACCTGTGGAGAAACAGGAAGACTGAGACAGGTTTTTTAAAATAAGAGCAGTACAGTTTCTGTTTAACGTTTAGACTCAAGGTTCTGAAATGTCCTTGTTGGTTTTGATGGAATGGTGTCAGAACCCATAGAACATTTGTGTAGATGGTCCAGGCTGACCCAAGTCCACCACCCCAATGCTCAGAATGATCCACTGAGACATGACAGAAGTTCTGATGATCATGTTTCCGTCACCTGTGTACGCCTCTTAGTTGGAGCAGAGATGACACCAGGTGCATTGTGGGAAGAGGACAAGCTGATAGTGCTTTGGACCAGGTTCATCTTGGAACCTTTGGACCCTGAATGTTCTTGACTCACAGGGCAGCCTTTCTCTCAAGTTTGTGAAGCCACCCAGCAAGAGACAAACATGGCAGTTCCTTCCTCATCCACTAGGGGCTGGTGTCAGAAGAGAGCAAATCCTCACTGACTCCCATGTTAAAAAAGCCAATTTCACAGCAGAAATAAACATGTTTACAGCGTGGTGCAGAACATGAGCTCATGCGGCTTGGGCACCTGGCTCCGATCTCTGTGGTCTGAGGCAGTGCCTGTCACCTGTGGAGCTCTCTTAAGCCTAATTTATACTTCTCCGACAGGCTCGCAAGGATGGACGGAGTCGAGCTATCTTTTATAAACATCCGTCCGTTGAGACGGAGAACGCAAGTTTGTGATTGGTCAGACGTCGCCATCGTCTACAGTGCTGCCATTGCACCCTCAAAAACATAAATAGAGCAGAGGATATCTAGCGGCAGAAAGGAGTGGCGTTCAGGCCCATGTGGAGCTGATGGAGACGTATAAATTAGGCTTTAGGGAAACTACAGAAACTCTGCAGCTTGGCGAATTGAAAACCTTCGTTGGCTTGTGGCTGGGAAATTAACGATTGACTCAGATCCTCAACGCCTTGCTCTCAGCTCCACCTCTTTGCCCATTTTTGGATTGTCCAAGAGTGTCAAGACTTATGACACAGCCAAGATGGCGGTGATCGGAACCGCCCACCCAAGCCTCAACTCAGCCGTTTAGAAACCTATAAGTGACGTCACGGAGGGTTTGTCCATATTGACCCTATAAGCAATTAATGCTAATAAACCACTGTGATCAGAAATTATCCAGAACCCTGTCCAGCATCTGCAGGAAGTTCTGGATTAGCCAGAGGTGTTGGATCATTGGGAATGGTCCAGAATTCCACTGGAAACATGGATCTAACAGATCAGTCCTCCAGACGTTTGTTGGAGCAGCTGTTTGTGCTCCAGAATTAAAGTAAACAAGAGGACCCAGACCGTTGTCAGACCAGTAGGGGTTCTGCTGCCTTCAGAACCAGAACGTCCATGATTCAGGTTCTGGACCAGTCTACAGCAGGCCAGACCCATGTTTAATTCAGAACTTGGATGACCCGATTCTGTTAAACCCATTCAGACCTGGTTCCTCATCATTAGAATGTTTTAAAAGTTCTGGAGAGGAAACCAGAATCCAAGTGGGAGAACCTCTCCCGCTGATCCACTCTGAAGCGAGTTTTAAACAAACCCGGAAGTTCAGCTTGACTAAATGTAAACATCAAGTAGCATGATGATGCGTTCACGGTACAAAGGCTACAAAACCAACACGTGAGCTCAATAATTACCATTATTAATTCTGCTTTCTCTTTTAAACGACCCGTCTTAGTTTCATGTGAAATGTACATAAGAGTTTAACAGAGGTCAGATGTCACGCAGCTGTTTCCTAGTTTCCTACCAGCTCGCTTCACCAGCATCTTCCTCCTCTCATCAGCGGCGCCTTCTCTACCGGTCAGCCAGCAGCGGACAATGCGTTTGATCTTCAGCTCCGAGCGCGCGACTCAAACTCTCCAAGCTGAGAAAAAAAAAAAAAAAAAAAAAAAAAAAAAACCTGAACGATCCGCCCACGCTGCGTTCAGGGTCCCGAAAAAAGCTCAGAAAAAACAAATCTCAAATCACTGACACAATAAACGAAATAAAACTAAAATATTAGAAAGTTTAATCCACCAACAATAAATAAAACATGAAACTTTAATAAAAAAAATAAACAGTTCAGTTTTATCAAAAAAGATCAACAATTTTCTCCTTGATCATGTAGACACGAGTGTTTCACACCTGTTGTGAGAAATCGTGCTCCTCTGAAATAGTTTAAATTGAAGCTTTGATCCGTTATTCTCAGAAATTTGAGGCCAAAAGTACTTCTAAGAAACTATCATTAGATTAGATTTGAAAGTTTTTAGACATTAAAATCAGTGATGTTTACTCCTCTCACCTAAAATCTAGAGATTCGTTGTCATGTTTAAAAACATCTTTTTGTTTATGAATTAAGAAAAAATAGCAAAAAAAGTATAGATATTTTTCAATAAGATGCTAATGTTTGTGGAAAATTCATTAAAAACAAACATAAATAGATCTAAAAATATTACTGTTACTTTTACTGTCAAATTTTTGTGGAAAACATTCAACGGAAACTCAGGAAACCTACTTAAATCTGCATTTTTTTTATTGTGGGCTAATCTATATTAATACAATGATCAGAGCCACTACAGAAGGCCCGAAGAGCCTGAGTTATGTTGTGGTAACTTGAGAGGAACAGTGAAATAGTAAAGCTTTTGTTTTTGTTGAAGTCAAGTAGAATATATAGTATACAATAAATATATGATGATAATAATAATGTTGTGTGTAACAGTGATGTAAGGCTAAAAGGCAGAATATACATATTATTTTTATCTCATTGCATTGGAACGTAACGTTGTCCCACATCTGGCCACCCTAATGTTAGCTGGTAAATTATGATGTCACAATACTGTTGTGTGTGTGTGTACTTGTTAGCTACTCCATCCCTCTCCGTCTGCCAGGCAACAGCATTTGTTGCATTTTTCAAACATGAAGTGGGAGTGGAGTAAGCCTCTGGTAAGGGGTGACTTGCTCTTTAATAACTCGGGCAAATCTAGAGCAAATAATTCTAAATCACAGGACTTATTGGCCATGATGAGGACTGAACAACCTCAACAGAATAGACTTAATCTGAGTGAAATTACAACTTTTTACATAACTTTCCAAATGTTAAACAAGCCTTTTTAACTCTACTTAAAAATATTTTTTTGATAAAAAAAAGCATCACAAGCATGACATCATTACATTACGCCATTTTCCCATAAAAGTTCATGACAATTGTTATGAAGATAGCCTGAAGTGCAATGACTGACACGGGGGAACAGAATAATAATGGGGAGAAAAATTTCGCACAACACCGGCAGGATCCTCTCATTTCCTACTTAAAGGGAAGGCAACACAGCTCTAAGTGGTGCGATGGCGCCACCGTGCGTTTTGATCGATTAAAAACACGATTTTAATCCAAATGAACAAAAATATTTAAAAAATCAAATATTTGACTTTTTATTTTAATTTTTAGTGAACATATATTTATATTTGTTCTCCCCATTTAAAAAGGGGAACTGCATGGTGTGTTCCAACTACAGGGGATTACACGCCTGAGCCTTCCTGGTAAAGTCTATTCAGGGTTCTGGAGAGGAGGGTCCGTCGGATTGTTGAACCTCAGATTCAGGAGGAGCAATGTGGTTTTCGTCCTGGCCGTGGAACACTGGACCAGCTCTTTACCCTCAGGGGGATCCTGGAGGGTGTGTGGGAGTTTGCCCAACCAGTCTACATGTGTTTGTGGATTTGGAGAAGGCGCCTGACCGCATTCTTCAGGGGGTCCTGTGGGGTACCAGGCCCTCTGACATGGGCTGTTAGGTCCCTGTAGGACCGGTGTCAGAGCTTGGTCCGCATTGCCGGCAGTAAGTCGGGATCGTTCCCAGTGGAAGTTGGACTCCGCCAAGGCTGCCGTTAGTCACGATTCTGTTCACAACCTTTATGGACAGGATTTCTAGGAGCAGCCAAGGTGTTGAGGGGATCTGTGTTGGTGGTCTGAGGATCGAGTCTCTGCTTTTTGCAGATGATGTGGTCCTGTTGGCTTCATCAGAACGTGATCTTCAGCTTTCGCTGGAGTGGTTCTCAGCTGACTGAGAAGCAGCTGCGATGAGAATCAGCTCCTCTAAATCTGAGACCATGGTCTTGAATCAGAAAAGGGTAGAATGCCTTCTCCGGGTCAGGGATGAGGTCCTGCCCCAAGTGGAGGAGTTTAAGTATCTCGGGGTCTTGTTCACGAGTGAGGGAAAACTGGAGCGTGAGATCGATAGGCGGATTGGTGCTGCATCTGCAGTGATGTGGGCGTTGTACCGGTCTGTCGTGGTGAAGAGAGAGCTGAGCAAGAAGGTGAAGCTCTCGATTTACCGGTCGATCTATGTTCCTACCCTCACCTATGGTCACGAGCTTTGGGTAGTGACCGAAAGAACGAGATCACGGATACAAGCGAATGAGATGAGTTTTCTCTGCAGGGTGGCTGAGCTCTCCCTTGGAGATCGGGTGAGAAGCTTGGTCATCCGGGAGGGCCTCGGAGTAGACCCGCTGCTCCTCCACATCAAAAGGAGTCAGTTGGTGGCTCGGGCATCTGGTCAAGATGCCTCCTGGACGCCTCCCTGGTGAGATTTTCTGGGCACGTCCAACCGGGAGGAGACCTAAAGGTAGACCCAGGACACGGTGGAGGGACTATGTCTCTCAGCTGGCCAGGGAACGCCTTGGGATTCCCCTGGAGGAGCTGGCTCAAGTGGCTGGGGAGAGGGAAGTCTGGGCCTCTTTGCTTAGGCTGCTGCCCTCGCGACCCGACTCCGGATAAGCGGATGAAAATGGATGGATGGATATATTTATTTAAGTTAAGTTGACTTCATCTGGATGGAGACAGGCTAACAGTTTCCTTGTGTCACCAGTCTTGAAGCTAAGCTAACGGCAGATGAAAACAACAACAAATAAACACACGAAGTTAACCTAAAACACACAAACCACCAGAGAAAACACAACTAAGGAGGTACAAAACATCATCACGACATTAAATCAATTCCAAACCACCTGACACAA